GTATCATAAAAATAAAATTTCTAGAACACTAGCAAATTTTTCTAAAATTGCCAATAAAAAAACCTATAAAAGACAAGTTTTTGTTTTTGCTTTTTACTTGTATCTCCATAAGTTTTAGTCTATTTTGAATAAAATATATATCAAATCATCTAGCTCAGTAAGCTGAACAACTTTGAATAAGTAAAAGAATAGGTTTAATTAGTAAAATTATATTTAAATGAACAAAAATCAAAAACTTTCTTTTTGAAATTTTTCTTAGCAGCCAAGTGTATTGGAGATTTAAAACATAGCTGTCTAGAATAAAAAAAGTGTATTAAATAACTTTACTTAAGAGATCAAGTAAGATTTATTTAGTAAAATGTTGAGATATAATTAAATATATTTTTTGTAGTTTTAGTATAAGTAATTTATAAAAAGAGTTAAATCCAATTAAATACTACATTTATAATATTGTTCTTAGTCAGAATATATATAACAAAATTTTTACTAACCATATTGAACTTGTTAAAAACAAAACCAAACTCAATTATACAATTCTTACTAATATGCTACTCTACTCTCAATTATATAATATTTAGAATATATATGATATTTAATTTCAATACCATATTACAAACTATAATAAAAGACTTAACTTTTCTGATCTTCTTAATATTAGTATTCATATTTAGCTTTAATGACTTTAAAATAATCTTTGATTATCTACTAACATCTTAATTCATGATAATTCTATTGTTAATGGACCAAACAAATAAACTACCAATTTCAAAATAATTTAACTTTTCAAATATCTTAGTATTATATTTACTTTTAATTCAATTTACAACATTTTATATATTATTCAACAAGGTTCTATCTTATTAGAATCTTTGCTTTTCTCATATCCAAAATATTTAATTTTTAAAAAGCAACTTAAGCATTATAATATTCTATATCTTGATCAACTTATTATATTTGACAATTTATATTTATTAGACTAAAAACATATTTCATCTCATATATACAAAATTTCAAAAAACAAACAGCCACTTTGATTTATTTACTTAGAAGATTAAGTTACAAGCTACTTTTACAATTGTACTTTTTATTAACACCTACATCTACTTAACACAAACTACTACAGTTATATAACCGAACACTTCTTATCTTGCAAAAAACCATGGCTTATTACAGTATTTGATAATTAAATTATTAATAACAAAGCCAGAAGGCAATTTTTGCATCTGGATCTATTTTTATTACTCATTAGTAATGTAATATTGAATCACAATTTACTCAACTTTATCCTCTTCCATCTATTTAATCTTATATATATTCTAATTATTCTTTTAACTTTTAAACAATTATTAACAATTGTATAATTCTTATTCTTATCAATCTCTTAGCTTAATTTTTGGGACAAGTTAATACTTATAACAAACTTTTAATTTTAATGCTAATTATCTTAATCTTATATACTCTATTGCAATTCAACATCCTATTTAAATTTTAGAACTTTCAAATATTACTATTATTATTTAACTAATTTTTATAATTTTTGAATCTAGTTTACTTACATATAATTTTCAATAAATAGCTAACTATAATACTAACCTATTAGACTTTACTTTATATAGATAGCTCTGTTATTAATTTGGGTACTTTACAATGTTCTATAGGTATCAAATAGGTTTAAATTTCTAATAACTCAATATTATATATATTTCAAGCTCTAACAAAACTCTAATTTTGTTTATTTAAAGCTGAACTTGCTATTATTCTATTTGCTTTTATTATTGTCTTTAAAAAAAATATTATAAATATATATACAGATTCTCAATTTGTAATTTCTAATACCAAAACATTTTAAATTCTTTTATAACTTTATCCTATACACATACACTATATTTTTTACTATGGAACTTACTAATCAACTTTGTTAGCTCATACAAAATACAAATTATTTTTCATAAAGTTATTATATATCAAGTCAATATATATAACAATCTTACTAACTAACTAGTACAAAACTATCATAAACTATCATATCTAACTTTTATGTCTTATAATATTTATAACTCATCTTATACTCTAAATCTTAAAAATTTTCTTTTAAAATTATTTACTCATTGTAGTATTCATAGAATTTGTCATGCACATATTTATGTATTATAAACTATACAAAACTAGTTTTAATATTAAAACAAAATCTTTAATCAAATTAATTAACAAGCCACTTGATTATATATTAATAATAATCAAAAAATTTTAAACTTTTTATATAACTTTTAATTTTCTGTTATTAACTTGTTATTAAGTTTTTACTTCATTTCAACTAACAAATTTATTATAAAATTAGAATTCCATATTGTATCTTAAGATCTACAACTCAAACTCCTGAATATAATATACTTTTAAATGCTGCTTCACTTTTATCACATTCCCTATTACTCAATTCAATTAGTTTAAAAATAAACTTCTAGTATATCTAATGGATTAAATATCAAACTAATCCTTTATATATAATTACTAACATTCAAATCTAGATGAGCCTTGGCCACTTTAGTTGATTTAGATCACAGATAAATTAGTCTAAACTTCTATTCTTTCTATAATATTTTAAAAGCAGAATTGCATTTTATATAAAATCTCAATTAAATATTTAATAAAAATAAAGGCATGGCCTTACTATCAATATTATAAAAAAAAGAGAATAGTAATCCAAGTGTAGTAGTCAGGTTGTCTTCCTCCAAGTGGCAGGTTTAAGGTTCAAATCTTACTTATAATGAAATTTGGAAATTAATTTGTGTTATGGCAAACTGTCTCTTGACAATTAGTTGAATTAATATATTTGTAATCTTAAGTTACACTATCTCAAATGGAAGCTTAGTGCATCTATGCCAAGTGTAACATTACATATACATAGAGGAATATTAATAACCAGTATTGTATAAGACTTTGGTGCAAATCTATGATAAGACTACCAGGTGCAGTAAACTAAGAAACTGAAGAGTCAGAAGTCTACTTAAAAATTCCCAAGTAAAGAGGTAGCATGAACTTTTAATAGTATGGTCAGATTGATGGAAGCCTATGAAACACCACCAAAGGGATAGGCAGATAAATCAGATGTTAAAATGTATAGAGAAGCATATAACCAGGCTGCTAGAATCACTAAAAGAAAAAAATATATAAACTATACTATACTGGGCTATTTGGATTGGAAGTTGAAAGAGTTCTGTTAGTCCTAAGTAGCAGTTAGTAAGAGATGATAGAAAAGATGTTACAATGATATGTACTGGGTTCTAGTAAACTTTACAAGAGTAAAAATAGTATAATATAGAGTTAAACAGATAACCCCTATAACTGCAAGTGTTAGGTAACTATAGCATGTTGCATAAAATTAGACCATCTGTATGTGAGACACAAAAAGTTTTAGTAAGTTTTTTGTCAAAGATAAACTAGTCCTAAGGGTCTCAAAAGCATCAAGTACTTTGGATGGGTGTAGCCTAGAAGATGTCCTTATGATCACAAGTCAGATTACATATGCAGAGAGTTTAAATAGACAAGACACATAGTTGGCTTGCAAGTATGACACCTAGTGTAGAATCTGTATAGTAATATATAAATAGACTACTTAAATTAGGCACCAAAATTGCACATGTGGCTAGTTGTAACCTTTTATGTATAGAAGTCTCTGGAGGCATTCGTGTCTAAATACTTGAATAAAAAATTAATCTTCAAAGACAGAGACTTTAATGTTAAAAAAAAAAAAAAATTAAAAAAAAATATTTTTTTAAAAAAAAAAAAACCCCCAATTTAACTCATAACATAATCAGCTAATAATATTAATAATATTTAAGATTTGTGATTATTTTTATTTTTTAATCTTCTTTTTTTTTAAAAAAAAATGTTAAGGTAAATACATGCAATCCAGGATTTTACTAATAGTATAAGTTGGTCAGCATCTGTACATGTACAGGTATAGAGGCAATTATAGAAAAAGTATACAACTAGCTACTCATACAACTTTAGTCATTATCTAATTTAAATAGTCCACCTGAAGGTTCTATACTAATTGCTATACCTAGAACCCATCTGTAGATTCTCTATTTAAACACTCTAATCTTGCATCCACCATATCCTACCAGTGACTCCAGTAAACCAGTGAAGATATGCCATGGTCACTAAGTTATGTTTAACTTTGTACTAAACCTACCAGTGCATTCTGTATCTCATACTTACAGCTCACCTGATCACGCTTTGGCCTAAACCATCACTTGCAGTTAGGGCTAACCATTAAACTGCTTTTACTTTTGTAAGGTTCATCCAAAATCCTAGTACATATTTTTCTGACATCCTCTCTATCATCCCCTACTAACTGCTACTTAGAGCTGACAGGACTTACTGGACTTCCAATCCAGATGGCCCAGTATGGTATACCTTAGTATCCTTTTCCTCTGGCGATTCTGGCAGCCTGGTTGGTTATGTGCTCCTCTACACATCTTGCCATCTGGTTTATCAGCCTATCCCTTTGGAGGTGTTTCATAGGCTTTTATCAGCCCAACAGCACCATCGAAAATTTTGTGCTACTTTCTTACTTAGGATTTCCAAGTGGGTTTCTGACTCTTCAGTTCCTTTGCTTTTTGCACCTGGTGGTCTTATTATGGGTTTGCACTGAAGTCTTAAGCAATACTAGTTATTAACATTCCTCTATGTGAGTGTAATGTTACATTTAGCATAGATGCTCTGAGCTCTTATTTGAGATGGTACAACAAAGATTACAGATACACCAATCCAACTGATCGACAGAGAAAGTTACTATAATACAGACCTATTTTTCAAAATTTGTTATCTATGGGATTTGAGCTCTAAACCTACTACTTGGAGGTTGACAACCTGATTACTTCACTTGGTCACCACACCCCTATTTTTTAATCTTTTTTAGATTCACCAGTTTGTGAAATTAGCACTAAGTTGGTGACATGTATATGGTTATAGTTTCTTTAGTAAGCAGTTTTTTTTTAATTCTTGTTACTAATTTTGTTATTATTTTTAGACTTGCCTGTTTGAAAATTAGTGCTAAGATGGTGATACATGGCCTGTAGTTTGTTCTGTAGTGGCTTTTTTTTTATTCTAACTTCATTATTGTCTTTTTTAGATTTATTAGTCTTGAAATTAGCATCAGGATGATAATGTTGCTTATAGTTTGTTATTTTATAAGCAACTTTCTTTTAATTCTTATCTACTAACTTCATTATTGTCTTCTTTAGGTTAGCTGGTTTTGAAATCAGCACTAAAATAGTAATGTGATATATGGCTTGTAGTTTGTTTTTGTGTAAATAACTTTGATTCTTGCTCACTAACTTTGTTATAGTTTTCTTAGTTTCTCTGGATCATGAAATCAGCACTAGGACAGTAATAGAATATGTTGCTTGTATATTATTTTTGTGAGTTTTTTTTTATTCTTGCTTACTAACTTTACTATTATCTTTTTTATATTTACCAGATTATAAAATCAGCACTAAAATAATAATTATAAGTATGTGGCTTGTGGTTTATTCTTTTATGATGACTTTTTTTAGGTTCTTTTTTACTAATTTCATTATTGTTTTTAGGTTTATTACACAGTAATATGGTATGTGACTCATAGCTTGTTCTTTTGTAGATAATTTTTTTGATCTTTGCTCACTAATTTCATTATTGAAAATATTAAACAAAGCAACTCTCTCTGTAGATTACTTATACCAAAACTACAAAAAAAAACATTTGATTGTTTCTTTACTTTCTACTAAGTAAACCTTACTTGACCTCTTAAATAAAGTTGTTTAGCACACTGTTTGCCTCCTAGCAGTTAAGTTTTTGATTTTGTTCATTTTCATATAATTTTACTAATTAAACCTAATTTTATAACTATTTAAAAGTTGTTCAGCTCACTGATACAGACATTTTGATATATAATTTATTAAAAACAGACCAAAACTCACAGAAATACAAGCAAAAAGCAAAAACAAAAACTTGCTCTTTATAGGTTTTTTCATTGGCAATTTTAGGAAAACTTACTAGGTTGTTTTGGAAATTTCACTTTTCTGACACCCATTAGAATTTCCTAAACATCCAATAAGCTTATCTGAAGCTCATACACTTTTCCAAACTTTCCTAACTAGTCTAGAAACTTCTAAATTAAACAAATATTTTTATAAAATATACTTAAGAATCTATTTTTAGAACATAATGCCAACCTTGACAACAGTTGCACCTGATACTATCGATCTTGACTATTTTTACCAAAAATCTTCTAAAAGTTTTGGTATTGGTATCCTTGAAGATGCAACTAATATATCACATTCCATTCTGGCAAACAAGCAACCAAATAACTGCTTAAGTACAGAACTTAGAGGAGAAACTAAAAGTTATTATTACTTTAAAGCATCTGAATCTAGTTTTATTGTTATATGCTTTTGTAGCAAGTTCCATATTCACTTTATTTTGACTACCAATCAAATCTATAAACAACATGAAGTTATTTTCATTAATAAAAAATCCAAAGACAAAAAATTTTTAGCAAACAACATTACAAATTTTATTGAATTTATTCTGTTATCTTCTTAGCATCACTTTTATTTACTACACACAATCACTAATGTGCTAAGTGCAACTTGCCTATTGCCTGCAAAAAAATAAACAACCAACATTATCTGGCAGCAGATACAATTCTATACAATAACAAACCCTATTACAAAAAATGTATAAATATCTAACAACCTACTTATCAATCAAGCTTCTCATCTATATTTATTCAAAAACTCCAACAAATAATCAGTTTCTACAACCTACTAGTATCTGAACTCACATTTACAACCTTACCCAGTAACAGCAATAATAGCACAAACAACATGGATCTAGATAATTACATCATTAACAACAACAACTAACAATAACAATAACAACAACCTCTATATTAAAACCCTCTCTACTCTAAAGAACAACAACAATAACAACAGCAAGAAACAAATAAACAAAAGTAACAACAAACTCAAACTAATACTACTAACAACCAACAAAAAATTAAAGCCAATTCAATATTTGACTGGCTTGCTAACTTCCCAATTTCTGATAACATAAAAGACAAATCACAACTCCAAACAGAATTCCCTAGAAAAATCTTTAATTTTCTCAAATTCTACTTGCATGACTTTTATCTTGATAAGAAATTAAATCTGAAACTTCTAAGTAAAAGGCCCTTAAAACTAACTTTTATCTTATTATTTGCAAAATGGCTAGAGACAGACTACAGTTTCTTATTGACTTTATTTAACAAAATAATCCTAATACAGATAAAGCAATTACAATTTCTTTTGACATTCTTAAAGAAACTTTCAAAAAACTTATTTTAGCATTTACAACAATTTTGTTTACAAAACTTAACTATTCTAAAATTTTTGCATTCTTAGCAACTATTCCTCTATATACCAATCAAAACTGATTACAACTTTAGCTTGTATTCATCTATATCTTCTAAACAACTATTAAGCCATTGATAATATTAAATTTGCTGAAGACTTCCAACTTCAATCCAAAAGATTTAATATAACATCAAAAGTATCTGATTTTGACAAAAACAAGCAATATGTTATAATTAGATCTGATAGCAAATTTAACATCTATCTTGACTTCAATATTCCAAAAACACTTTTTTATCAAAACTAAATATTTCATCTTTTACAAACTCTTTAGACTATTTAAAACAATGGTTTAAACAATTTTTTCTAACATATAATCATCAATTTACTCAACTACTAGATAAAACTAAAATCTTTAACTCTTTAAAATATCAAATTTGACAGCAATTCATCTTTCATCTCAAAGAAACATTACCTATTACAATAAACTTTCAACAATCTTACAATCTACAAGAATGCTAAAATGAAACCATAAAACTAGCAAACTTTCATATTTTTACTTGTAAAAAAGAAACTTGTTTCTACCTAGTACAAATAGAACCTAAAAACAAAGAAAAAGAAACAGAAAATACAAATTCATCTATGATAATCCAAAACTATTATATTAACACAACTTTTCACAATTATCAAATGATATTTTTAAAAAATCATATAAAGATTTTCTAAAACAAGAAAATGAAATTTGGAAATGATCTGAGATTGATCCATCTATCATTTACAAAAATAGCAAACATAAAGCATCCTTCAACAAACAAATTCCTACTACTCTTCTTGATGAGCTTGCAACAAAAATAGAAAAATCTTCTTGCAAAATCAACAATATGCAAACTAATCCTAAATGATGTAGCTACTACTTTTACCTATATCTTAATCTATACCAAAACATTGCAACACAAAACTACTATATTGACAAACTTGACAAACAGCAAGCAATAGAATTTATTACCTCTAAACTCACTAGCACAGAACTATTAGCAAGAGTTTTAACCTTTTTTAACTCTCTTAATGAATCACTAACATACTCACAAATTAATACTTATTACTAAGAAACAGCCTATTCAAAAACAAACAAAATATTACAAGATAAATTCCAAATGTCATACTTAATTCTCTTCTTAATTGAAGAGTCTTTTTTTCTTAAGAAAACTTCTTTTTAGTAAATCTGTTTTCTACAAACCTCATAAATGCAGCTGCCACCTTGCCAAGAGATATACCCTTAGTAGTTGGTAAGAAAAATGATATAAGTATGTAGGCAATAAAGCCTATTTACATGAAGGACCAAGTTAATAATAGCCAGACCCAACATATAAAGCAGGCTATGATATTCTTTACAGCTGTGCAAGCTAAGCTTCAAACAGTGAATAACCTTGTAGAAAACAATCCAACCTCTCAAGTTTCTGCTTCCAACACTTCACCTTCTGTAGAAATAAACATATGCTACAACAAATTTCTATAATCACACAATTTACCTATTATACATAATTCTATAATACTTGAAAACTTCCTATCCTATCTTTGAAAACACTCTTTTAAAAATAGTTTCAAAATATTTATCAACCAAGATAAAACTGAGTTACATATATATACTAATTTTTCTAATTCTATTTTGCATAAACATTATATCATTCAACCTTTTCAATATGAAATATACAAACATCTACTTTTACTAATAACACCTAACAATACTTTATCTAATATTCACTTAGTCTTTCTTGATCAATTGTTTCTTATAAATCCATTTTCTGAATCCTCATCTATACAATTACTTCTACATCTAATTATACAGCTGATAGATCTAAGACTTGTTCAATTTACATTCTCTAATACTCATAACATACAACCTATCATTAATCTATCAATAGAGGAAACATCTATATCAACTTTATATAAACTATTACATTTATCGATATGTATATACAATATATAAGAATATAATGATAATCTAAAACAACAAGTTTGGAAGAACTATTGTTTATCCAATAACATTAATATAGCCAGCATTACAAAAACTAAAATTGCACAAGACAATACAAACACTAAATTTCCTAAATCTTAGCAGTTTACCTATTACTGGTCTTGCACTAATAGCTGCAAAGCTGAAACAGCAATTATAATTCAAAAACATCTAAAACCACATATTCACAAAATATTTCAATTCTCTGGTTATGCTATTGCTATAGACCTTTTCTTTAAACATGACTTTAAATTTTATATTATTTCAGTTTATTTAACTAATGATAACCTTTAACTTAGACTTCTTATTCAAAATAATATCATACAATGGATTTAAGAAGCAAATACTAAAAGCATACAACCAATAATCATAGATAACTTTAATGTTTCTGATAATTTACAATTATTATCGATCAAACTTAAACTTATTTATTTTCTTCAATATAACAACATATATAATCTAGCTAAATACACACAATCATTAGCTCTCACCTGGCATAGCAGCAGATACAATAGTTATATTAACTACATTTGGGCTAACTATTCTATTATTTAATACTTAACTTTTTATCATACAGATGATGCTAACCAAAGTACACTTAGTGATCACAAAATTCTCATATCATCATAAAAATTCTCTTATGCAATTACTAAAAAATGATGGTCAGCTACCAAAACCAAATGAAGAATCTTTGCTTACAAACAAATAAATCAAGACTATTGGCAAGCTTTTGCTGATCAAGTTACATCTAATCTTCAAGCTAATAAGACTTTTTCTACAACCAATACTACAGAATCACTTGAAGCCTTATGGCACAAAATTCAAAAAAGCATTATTGCAG